TGAAGCAATGAGCATGAAACTGAGCAAACTCAGGGAGGCAGTAAAGGACAGGAAGGCCTGGGGCGATAGAGTTCATGGGGTCACGAAGAGTCGGACACGACTTAACGACTGAACAACAACTATAAATGATGGTTTACAAACATCAGGGGCGGGGCTCATACAATGCCAAATCAAAATCAGGCATACCCTATATGAACCACACAAATACCTGCCTTTCATTCCCAAGCAAGCGTCAAACCTAGAAGATTTTTCAGCAAGCCAATGGCCACATTGCTTGCCGTTCAGGACAGATGAGTTACATTTGTCTTGGTGAGTCGCACACTGTTGAAGAACTAAATTGAGAATGGTGTCGCTATCCTCTAAAGAGCATTCAACAGGTTTTGATCTAATTTGTAATCAAATTATTGTATTTATTCATGCATACCTACGGCTTATATTCTGTCTTTCACTGAAGGGGACTAATGATATAATACAAAGAGATAAACTATATTTAAAACAATAGCAACTACTGTTAAATCTATCTCAAACTGAAAAGAGCTGGCTGAAGCAAAGAAGGTCCTGAAAGTGGAATGAGTGAGGGGCTGAGTATGGCTTCCATGGGAGCACATTTTCTGCTTCGGGAGCAGCACAGGAGAAGACCCTCTCCCATGTGCCCAACAAATGGATCTCAAAAAAGAAGGACAAGTTTTAGATGGCCTTAATGTCCAGACAAATTCATATCAAGATACAGAGTCTCTCAAGTAATTAGGTCCTACGTTGTTTAGGGCTTTAAACCAACACCTTACACTGTGTTCAGAAAACAGCTGCCAACCAACATGGGTGCAATATGCTCTCTGAATTATGCACCGCTGAGCAGGCTGGTTGCTGCATTTTGCATCAAGGGAAGCTTGGAGCCATGTCTCAGGGATACCCCCGTATGGATATTAAACTTTCTGGAAATCTGCTGAAAGTAAGTGGTCATGAGGGGTATTCATTTAGAATTCCCCTGCCCCCACGCTAAAGCAGAGGAACAAAGCAATCCAGCTGCTTTGAAAGAACAGGAGCTTGCCCTGAAAGCCAGGGAAAATGCCAGGGAGAAGGAAAGGTATTGTTCGAAGGAGGGAAGTCTCTGGCTGCGGGGATGCCGGCAGAAGTGCCTGGAGGCTGGAGTGCTGACTCAGAGAGCGCCGGGAGGCACAGGAGCCCTGGTGGCCGACGACTGACCTTTGGCACCCTTTGCTTCCTCCTCCTTCCTGCCCAGAGCCCCTTCTGCTTCCCAGAGGGAGGAGAATCCGGCTCCTCGAGTCTTTGATTGGCTAAGAAAGTCAAGTCTAGCCCAGAATAAAAGGTAAGAGGGAGCATCTTTTCGGCCGGCCGGCCACCCTCCCTCAGAATGAGCACCTTGGCCTTGTACCGTGGCATCTACACCCAGGAGCACTTCCAGCAGGTCTATGGGGCGCCGCTGGAGCCGGAGAGCAGCCTGGCGGGGATGCTGAAGGGCAGGCTGAGCCGGGGCTGCCGGTGCACCAAAGCAGCGGCCTTGCACTTACTCAGAAGCAGGCTGCCCATTGCAAGTTGGCTGCCCAAGTACCAGCCGAAGAAATGGCTCTTGGGGGACCTGGTGGCGGGGTTAACCGTGGGCATTGTACACATCCCTCAAGGTGAGTTCGTCTGCCTCTGTGGGTGTCCGTGGGTGTGCAGGGGTGCAATTCATTGCAGGGACAATGACCTCGTACAAGAGAAGGTGAACAAAAGACTAACTTGGGAGCTTGTAGTCATGTGCCCAAGGATTTTGCAGCCTGAACAGGAGCAGCAGTTCCTTCCTTTTGGAAGGCTCTGTTGAACTGTGCAGCAAAGAAGTGACATTTGGGGGTGGGCAAACAATACCCTTGACTTTGGCATCATAGCTGCTCCATGCATGTCCCTCCATTGATCTCTTTTTCTCCCACTACCTCTATAGATCGTTGTTGTTGTTGTTCCAAAATCAGTCTCAAATACTCAATTTCTGTTTTCCTCCCACAAGGCTGACAGGGATTTTCTATTTCTGACCTCCATTTTGGGGGGGAATAGCTCATTCCCTCTCTCTCCCCCCCTCCAGATTCTGATAGCTGCCCCAGTTCTCCGGAGGGATTCAACTTTCTTGTGCTTCCAAACTGCTCCTCTGTTCTTCCTAAGGGTCTGGTCTCCATTCTCCTTTCTACTTGGCTTTCAGTGTCTCTGCCTGCCTCTCTGTCTGCCTGCCTTCCCTTATTCCCAAAAATGTTCCCTGATTCCACGCACACAGTCCCAAATCCAGGTCTCTAAGTACCTTCCTTGTAATTCAAATCTCTGCTGTTCCTCTAACCACCGCTCCTCTTTCACCTCTCCATGGTTCTTCCTCTTTGAAGATTTTTGATTTGCACCTTCTTTTTGCACACCTTGCAGTTATTCTCTAGTTTCTGGTGGCTGCCTTTCTCTGCACACTTACCAGGGAGGAAGCCTTATGAGTCCCGGTTGTCTAAGAAATTGCACACAGGGTGGGTAGTGGGTCTTGCTCCAAAGATTGTTCTCTAGGTTATCCTTGTCTCTCTGGTGAGAGTCGGGAGACTGCAGCTGCCTGGCGAAACAGATAAAAAGAAAGGAAAACAAGAAGACCCAGTGCCTGGATGTTTTTCTGCCCTGAACTGAGCTCGTGCCTTGCCTGTCCTCCTGCTTGTCCTTTGCCAGCCCAGCCTCTGGCAAGGCAGCTGAGCTGGCATTAAAGCCGTCTGCACTGCCAAGTCCCTAGTCAGGACTGCTGTTGCGTGTCGTCCTCCAACTGTTGACAGAGAGAAAGAAGGAGGCCTTGCCAGTCATTCATAGATGCCATCAAAGAAGATTGGAGGTGCTCTGAACAAACCTTGAGCAGTGTGAGAGAAGCTATTTTCCTGTTACAAAGCCTGCATTTCTGTTTCCAGAGCGTGGTGGCTGATTACATGAAGCAATGCAGAGCTTTCAACACTTTAAAGATATAAGAGTTCATTCTCATTTAAACTTCCAGAGCCTAGAGCCCAGTTCTTCTGGTCTGTGACCAGAATGGCATCAAGGCTAATATAATCATTAAAGCAGGAAGATGAGTGGCCTTTCCAAGCTTTCCCACCCAAGCTCTGAACAGATCATATAGGAAGTTGTGTTCAGACCCCCCTGCACTGGGGGGGAAAGCATTTGATATGGTTATGAAAGAATTTCATTTATATCTATCAAACTAGGGAAGTAGCCTTGGATAACTTATTGTCTCAAAGGCTTACTCTGAGCCAGATTTCAGCTAAGTAACTTTTTTCAAGGAGTGCAACAGGGTGATACTTGTTATCTGAATGTCAGGAATGGGAAGCCTAGAAATGATTCTCTATTATCAGAAGCCATACTACTGAATCTAAATATTGGGGGGTTATGGATACTTGGTACAAGAGTGAGAAAAATGCCCTGCCCATAGACAAAGGTAGGTGAACTTTGAGCTCAATTAAAGTATCAGGAGTTACTCCCTGGGTGCTATGAACTTCAATTCCCATCATCACCCAGTATAGCCAATGACAAGGAATAATGGGAGTTGTAGTTCAACATCCCTATGTGACTGTAGGTTGCCTGCTCCTGCATTAGGTTATTATTCTGGAATAATTATTACTGGAAAAATAAAATAGTTTATTGCCACTCAGAGTTGGCTGTTGCCCTCTCTACTCCACCAAGTTACAATAGGAAGGGCAGAGGATAAAGCTAAGGCCAGTGTTGTCCAAACTTGGCCACTTTAAGATGAGTGGACTTCAACTCATGCTGGCTGGG